TGTGAATGTTAACATGTCAATGTGAATATTCACATTGTCAACGGACCGGGCCTGCCTCGGCTTAGGGGGGAGCTTCGAACCGTCCACGGGCCACGGGCCAATTTTACATTCTTACCAATATGAATGTTAAAATATGAATATTTACAGCCCGCCCCGCCCCGGGCAACGAGCGGGCTTCGGGCTGCCCACGGGCCAATTTTACACTCCTATCAATGTGAATGTTAACATGTTAATGTGAATATTCACATTGTAAATGGGCCGGGTCTGACCCGCGGGCAGGTTTCGGGCCGCTCACGGGCTGCGGGCCAATTTTACACTCCTATCAATGTAAATGTTAACATGTCAATCTAAATATTCACATTGTAAACGGGCCGGGCCAGGCCGGGCCCGTGGGCGAGTTTCGGGCCGCCTACGGACCGCGGGTCAATTTTACACTCCTGTCAACGTGAATGTTAATATGTTAATGTGAATATTCACATTGTCAACGGGCCGAGTCGGGCCCGTCCCGGGTAGTCCACGGGCCGCAGGCCAATTTTACACTTCTATCAATGTGAATATTAACATGTCAATGTGAATATTCACATTGTCAACGGACCGGGCCCGCCCGGCTCGGAGGCGAGCTTCGGAACGCCCACGGGCCATAGGTCAATTTTACATTTTTACCAATGTGAATGTTAAAATATGAATATTTACAGCCCGCCCTGCCCCGGGCAACGGGCGGGCTTCGAGCCGCCCACAGGCCGTGGGCCAATTTTACATTCCTATCAATATAAATGTTAACATGTCAGTGTGAATATTCACATTGTAAACGGGCCGGGCTGTGCTCGCGGGTCAATTTTACACTTCTATCAATGTGAATTTTAATATGTTAATTTGAATATTTACATTACGGGCCATGGGCCAATTTCGGGTCGCCTACGGGCCGCAGGCCAATTTGACACTTCTATCAATGAGAATGTTAACATGTCCATGTGAATATTCACATTGTCAACGGACTAGGCCCGGCCCAGCCCGGGGGCGATCTTCGGACCGCCCACGGGCCAATTTTATATTCTTACCAATGTGAATGTTAAAATATGAATATTTACATCATAAAATTGCTAACCGTTCAAAAAATATTTGTAAGAGTATCAAAATTAAATATAAGAGCATAAGAGTCTAAAAAAAGAGTGTAAATAAAAAAAAATGACTTTATGGAATAAAACTATACATACATAGGACTAAGGCTCCGTTTAGCAAGAGCTAAACGAGACTTTTTTGGCTATTTTAGCCACAAAAGACAAAATAGGCTATTTTAGCTACAAAAAACAAAATATCACATCCAACCCATAATCATTACATTCTTCTCTCACAAAAAAAGTCAAAAAAGCCAAAAAGTCCTTCCCAAACCAAACTTTTTAGCCCAGGCTAAAATAGCCAAAAAAGTCAAAAAGTCAAAAAGCCAACCCACTTCCCAAACGAAGGCTAAATGGGTTAATAAATTTCTTTATGGACTTTTTGAGTTAAAACACTTCTAAATGACTAAATGGGTTAATAAATTTATTCATAAACTTTTTGGGTTAAAACACTTCTAAAAAGAGATTTATCCGTAAAAATTCCTTTAAATTTAGGTGAAAAACTAGGGTAAGATTAAGGGGTTGTTTGGGATGTTCTAAATAAGTGCACTTTTTGACTTTTTATGAAATATGAATTGAGTTTGAAGTGATGTGGTAGAGAGATGATGTGACTTAAATAAGATAGTGACTTTTTCACTTTTTGAATTTTTTATGAGATGTCAAACTTAGGCCTCGTTTGGGAACATATTAATTTAGTAACTTTTTGGCTATTTGACTAAAATATAAACCAAACCAAATGAAGCCTTAAGTCCCATCAAATGGGGTCGGCTACATGAATCCTTCTTCTCCACGCGGCCCTATCAAAGGCCATTTCATTGGTCAAATTAAGTAGATTCATATCTCTATTTATAACGCTAGTCAACGTTAATCTAGGCCTACCTCGTCCCCTAACACTTCCATCTACCGTTACAGCATCGCATCTCTTCACTACTGCCTCTGTTGGTCTCCGTTGAATATGACCAAACCATCTCAAACGATTCTCTCTCAACTTATCTTCTATCGGTGCTACTCCTACCCATTCCCGAATACACTCATTCCTAATCCTGTCATGTCTAGTCTTACCACACATCCACCTTAGCATCCTCATCTCAGCGGCCGATCTCTTATCTACATGTTGTTTCTTAGTTGCCCAACACTCCGTCCCATACAACATAGCTGGTCTAATAGCCGTTCTATAAAACTTACCTTTTAGTCTAGTGGGTATTCGTTTATCATGTATATGTGCCTATGGTAACAGAAATTACAAGAAACTAGGACTAAAATATTATTACAACGCATGTTTCAAACAGAAGGCAATAGCATGCATGGTTAGGACTATACACAATGGTAACATTCAACAATTTATAGAGATGTAAGACACCACAATTTATCAAAAAAAATTTAACGGTAATCAACAGAAGCAGATAAGTACTGCTATAACTTTTCCCATGTCCAATCCACAGTTTAACATTCACTATTTTAAGTCATCAAGAAGAAGTGCATACTCTGAAATTGCTTCATAACCATCATCTGCAAAACAGATTTGCAAATGCAAAGGCAGAGGCCTCCATTCATGCCCAGAGATGGGAAACTGAGGTTTGTTGGCTTGTTGCATCCCTATTTATTCATGGATTTTGTTTAAGGCAGG